AGAGCATCCAAGGCATAGAACATGAATATTCAGAGAGAGAAATGGTTCAAATTTTATTTAAATTTTGACATAATAATCACTCCCCCCATCTAAAATTCTAAGATATTATATATATTTTTCAAGCACAAATATAATTTTTTAAAAAAGATTTAATTTATTCCCCCTATAAAATTTTAGGATTTCAGATATTTATTGAAAAATACAAATGATATTTTAAAATAATTAATTTATAATACTCCACCGAAAAATATTTATGGCTCTGCCAATGGAAAATAGTCAAACCATTAAATATAAGAAGTGTTACACAATAAAATGAAGAGAATTAATGGGCAAATTTACACTATCGCTGTATCTCAGATGCAAAAATTATATCATTATTGTAATATACTTTCTGTATACAACAAAATAGAGAAAAAAGGGAAATATAAAAGAGTATGATGGAGATATCCACTCACTGTTTCTCAATAATTCTCTCTGTGTTTGATTTTACTATATTTCTATTAAGAAAACTTCACTTACAAACAAATTAAAAAAGAAAAAAAGGATTGGACTTAACTTTTTCAGCTGTACCAATCAACAAAATTCTCCTAAATAAAAGTCAATGTAATTTTCTTTGCAGTCGATCTGATTGATTATTCTAAGCAAAGTAGAGTCAAATCTTCTTCTTTTTTAATGAATTTGTTAAGAAAATGTAATTAACATACCTTATTTTTGAAAATTTTGATTTAAGAACATAAATTTGATAAAGGTTTCGTTTGTGACAGCTTTCTTCTTGCTTCTCAAAGCAGTTTTTTAATACAAAATTAAAATTTTACTAAAAAGCTGTTTTAGAAAGCAGCAAAAAATTAATTAAACTGTTCTTCCTCTTAAGACTATGCATCCTCTTCTCATATTTTCCTTCAAGAGAGCCAAACTACAGCTATATGTACCAATTAATGGTTAATGATATAGTGTAGTGAAGTCAATGGAGATGGAAAGAATAGAGAGAGAGGAGGGCCTCACAGAAAATGTCTTCTTCTTCCCTTTCGTTAACTGTACAGGCTTTTTCTTCTTTATTCATACCTTCCACCAGCCATGTCTGCCTACTTTCCTCTCACGCACTGTCGGTTAGTTTTCATATTTGAATATATTTATATTGCTTTTAGCTGCAACATCAATATTCACACTTAAGAAATCTGATTAAATTTTTTTAAAATATGTATCAATATAGCTTTTGGTTTATTTTTCATAAAGAGCATTTTTAGAATATGATATATATAATTATTATGCATTATAATATTTATGATGATAGAAAGAGTTTAAAATCTCCGAGAATAAGCTTATGTGACTCTCATCATATGCATTATATTATTCATGATTGAGAGATTAGTTGTTGGTCATTGAAGAAGTATATATATATAAAAGTTTACCATGAAAATCTGAAACCAAGAAACATAGACACTAATCTCATAAATATTTAATAATTATTTGTCTAAAGATTCGTCGGTCTATGGATCCGTCGGTCCGACAAACCAATCTCAAAATTGGCTTTGTCGATATTACATGCATCATACTCAAACATATCTTTTAAATTTTATATTATGATAATAGTTCTCAATATAAAGATTATAAAATGGCTCATTGTTGCTTAGCTTGGTTGGTGAGCGAGTGCAGTTGGCAATCCCCAACCCTTGCTCGATTCCCCTCAAGCGGCAACGCCTCTTAAGTGGGACCCAATCAAGTGCGGTCCAGGAGATTTCTGTGGTGGGTGTCTCTTCTAGGTCAGCCAAGGATTAGTCACACCGCCAAGTTCCCTTTCGGGGATGACAGCGGGTGGATACCCTATTCCAAATATATATATAATGATTTAACTTCCTCCAACTTATGGTGCTCCATATCTTGAGTCCAAAAGAATCTCAGTCACACATATCTTCAATATCTTTGCACAACAATTATTAAAATAATCAATATAGGCATATTCCTATTAAAAATTTTTATATTATTAGTTAGTCTCTTGCCATTTTAGATATTCCGTTACTCTAAGCATATCCCATCATAAGGTAACCCTTCATGATAATGCCTTTGCTTATCATAAATCATAATCTTCCTACACTTATACAAATCACATTTTTTGATAATATTAACCCGTGCAGAAAAGGTTAAATCAAATCTTCCTAAAATCAATTGTACCATGATTTAGAGATGGTGAGTGTCACATTTATCCTAAATCAAAATGTGAATATTAGTCTATCTTTTGACAGTTTCGAAGCCCCGACTACGACCTTGCCCAAGGAGTTTTAAACTTTCTTAAAAAAGTTCTCATATTTTCTAGAAGCTTCAAGAAAGATAGTTGTTTAATACTTTCTTAATCTTGATTTTTTTTTTATTGATAAAATGATATATGACAAAGGGTTTGCCTTGATATAACCATGCATGAGAAGTTGACATGAATAACCTTTCAACATTGTAGAAAGGGTTGTCCCCAACCAAGACTGACTCCTACAAATAGCATCAAATTTTTATATGCTAGAGCATTCACTGTAGTAAAGAGATAGAGAGTTTATAAGACAATCAAGCACACATATATAGAGATAAGAGATGAGTGCAACAATTATAAAAGACACCAAAATTTTTACATTAAAACTCTTGAAAGGAAAAAAAAATCATAAGGCATGAGCCAATTAAAATGATTCATCTATTATTTATCATTGGTTATAAATAATGTCCTTTTTCGGGAGAAGGCATTGATTCAATGGAGTAAATATAATATATAGAAGGCATTACATGTTTGAACTTGGAAGATCCCTAGTATAAGATATCTTTAATAAAACATTTATTTGTTTTTTTTTTTTTTTTTTTTGTCGTACTCCTTTGAGAAGAGGAGATCGTAGACCAAGAAATCCAGTATAAATCCTAGTGTTGATAATGGGAGTTGTAGTTGATGTCAATAACATACATCAGTCTTATAAATAATTGCACATGTTGGCATAATCAGTGATGGTAAGTGATGAAATCAACGAGCATCAATGTAACTAGTAACAATAATTAGAAGACTGTAGGGTAAAGGACCATCCTTTAGCAATAGTGGTTGAAGGGCCATCATTAGGCGATGGTGGTAGAATGATGTAATTGGATTGGGGAGATCATAGGATCGTTGTCAAGCAATGGTGGTTAAAGGATCATAATTGGGTAATAGAGATAGATCGGAGTATTATAGTCGAGGGTTAGTGGATTGTCAAAGGACTATAGTCATGAAACGAGGTCAGATGACCTTAGTTGGGAGACTGTGATTGGAGGATCATAGTAGAGCCTTGCTGGTTGAGAACTATAGATGAACAAAGGAAGTCTAGTACCGTTGGTCGGGTGGTGGTACAATGAAGTGTTTCGAGTGGTGTTCTGACATCAACAATCAAGCAGTAGCCCAATGATAGTGTTCTGATAATGATGGTCAGATAGTGGTTCGGTGGTGGTGCTCAAGTATAGCCTCGGGATTCTCAAAGCTTCTAAGCTTTCTTAAATCTCAAACACGATTTAGCTCCAACTCCCTCTTCATGTTGAGAGCAGAAGTCTATTTATGGATTTTTAGAATGTCATATCTCATATATATGAAGAAAATTCTAAATGCTCTTTCGAACAGCCTTCCTTTGATCATTTAAAATTCTTTAAACATTCAAATGTCTTAATATGGATGAAATTAAGTGATCTTAAACTCGTTAGATTTGTCTTACTGATACCCTAAATTTGACTATAAGCATGAAAGATTTGGAATCGTTTGATCATCTAATTAATGTTAAGTTTTTAATTACCCTTCAAACACTTTATCTAGGCTCATTTGGATTCTGATTGGACCACTTTTGATATTGTTAGGTTCGTATTGTTGAGACGTTCAGTTTGACTATAAGTTTATACTTCAATTTTTAATTCTGAAAATCCTTAATTTAAATTTGCATCAAAATTTGTATCTATGCAAGAAGATTTTTTTTATGGCCTATGAGGGGTAATTAAACCTTTTATATTTATATAATTTCATCTGCATATTTTATTTTTTTTATGATCAGGGATTCATTATTTATTTAAGCTATTATAATTTTGTTAGTTTGAGTCCAAATAAATTTGCATAGATATAAAGACAGAAACCGAATCCAATGTTTAATAGATATATTTACATATAAATACCTTTATTTTCTGTGTGTTTCTCGGTGGGGTCAGTGGGGACCATATCCGTAAACCAGTTGCTCACGCGTGAGCGCCCGCGACTCTCCCGCTGCACGCGCGTCTGCTGCCTTTGCGTGCCGACCGCACCTCATTTTACCAACCTTTTTTAGAAAAAATTATTCTGTGCAGACGCTGAATTCCGTCCCGATGTCTAAGCCCGCGGCTCGGTACTGTGGTATAGAGCATGGGTACAGTATCGAGCCGCGGGTACCGCTCGGTATCACTGCTCAATAAAACTTGCGTGACTTATTCTAATTTGTATAGATATGTAGAACTATATTCAACGTCTGCACAGAATAATCTCTCTCGGGCCCGAACCCTTTACGCTCTATATCCATTAGCCCACATATTATAAATTAACTTGAAATTTGTATCTCCCAAAAAAATTATAAAAAAAAACATTGAACTTTGAAATTGCTTTTACAGCTAAAGAAATTTATGTAGAAAAATAGAGGAAATGGAAAGAAAAATAACTGCAAAGGAATTGAATTAATCAAATTTAATTTATATTCATGCATGCATACCTTCATGGGTATTCATTATCTTATAAGGGAATGCACATACATAGCATTCAAAAGTCATTGGTCATGTTGTTATTGATGAAGATGAGTGTGCGCACGCATAGCTATGTGTTAGGGTGCATGGGGTTTCATGCTGTAATGTGGCTTTGTTGGGCTGTGTATGGATGCAATTTGGACCATTCACATGCCAAGGCGAGCAGGTTGAAGGATGGGCACACTGAAGTGTGAATTCGTGCATCAAGCTGACTCGTGAGCCGATTCAGACTCAACTCATTAGAATGCTTGATGAACCGAGCTTATCGAGCTCGCGGGTCAAGCTCGAACTTGACAGCTTATCGAGCTCGAGCTCGAACAGACCTCCGCTCGACTCGTGAGCTTGTCAAGCCGCTTGCGGATGTGACCTTCAGATGCCGGAGGGAAAACAAATCGAAGGTTTGGCAGGAAAACAAATCGAAGGTCGGGCGTGCTGCTCGGAACTTTGATGGAGCTCAGGATGATGATAGAGCTCGGGTTGATGATGGAGCTTGGGACTATGACGACACTCGGGACGACGACAGAGCTCGGGTTGATGATCGAGCTTGGGACGATGATGACACTCGGGACGACGACAGAGCTCGGGTTGATGATCGAGCTCAAGATGATGACGACACTCGGGACGACGACAGAGCTCAGGTCAACGACGGAGCTCGAGATGACAACGATGCTCAAGATGACAAAAGAGATCGGGTTAATGACGGAGCTCAAGAGGACAGTGGATGCGACAACGGAGTTCGGGACGACGGAGCTCACATGTTGCTTGGGATGTAGCTCGGCAACAGAGCTCAAAATGGATCTCGACGAGCCGCTCGACGTGAGACAGGTAAAGCTCGAGCTCGGCATTTGGCAGACAAGCTCAACTCGACTCGTTTGCACCCCTAATCCTAATTAGTGCCTTAGATTTCATTGAGACATACTTCTCTAACCTCTCCAACGAAATCCATCTTCTTTAATTAACAATGTCATATCATGCAAATAGTAAAGTTTAGATACTATATATGTAAATTAGATCATTCTGAGTGCTATGTATGTAAATCCTCTCATCTTATATTAATTATATACCCAAACCTTAATGATTTGTTCATAAAGAATGATTTAACAAAGCTTACCTTAATCTCTGTGTGAATCACTTTCTTCTTAATCTTGCTTTCTGCATGCTTAAGCTTATAATTACGTACTTGCTAAGCAAGAATGATTCAAGAATTAATTTGTTTTTCAACGTACTGCATGCATGGGATTGCATGGATTGTAGGAGGGAGGATTAGGTGAGTGGGATAAAATTAGTTGGAGGGGATTAAAGAACACTGGCTTAATTAATTTTATAATTAAGCGTTTTCATGCAGTGTTAATGATGAAGAGTCATGGTCCTAATTAAGGTTTTTTGCATGGCATCATGCTAATTATGACTAGTTTTTGAGATGATTATGCTTCATCATACGAGCTCCTAAAAAAATTAGGACAAAATCTTTTTATGTATTCTTGTGCATACGCTTTGTTTGGGACGGCTTTTTTATTGCTTTATACATTAGCATTTTAGTAAAAATTTTGTTAAACTAATAAATTTTGTACTAAAAAGTTGTTTCATAAAGCAGTAAGAAAGCCGCCCCAAACAATGCCTACGGCCTCGTTTGTTTCAGCATTTTTTTTCCTTTACTATTTAATTAGAAACGGAGAAATTTTGTTTTGTCGCTATTTGGATGGGACTCTTCTATAGAAATATTTTTTTAGGGAACTTCAATTTTTATACTGTTTTGAGCGAAGCTTTTTGATATTTGCTTCGCCGTTAAAAAACTTCATTCCCTTAGCCATTATTTCTAAAACTATTTTTTACAAAAGAAGAGAAAAAAACCTAAGATCGGATCGATTGAGTATGAAGCAAATGATCAAAATAGAATGGAACTATTGAAAAATTATCGTGATAGAAAGTATATTTGCTTATGTCTGGATTGACAAGAGAAGCCAAAGGTAGCAGCAGCAGCAGCAGCAGTAGCAGGTGATGAGTTGAATTGCACAAAGCATGACCCACTGAAGCACTCTCATAATAATACTTGCTGGGCAGGCAGTGGGGTTCACTTTCACTTCCCTTTCAGTTGCTTTGCTTTCGTATTTTCCATTTATATATGCATAAAAGTAGTAAAAGCTGTATTAGTTTTTGTAGTGAGAATTTCCTGTGTTCACAATAATAGCCAAGAATTATGGCCCCCAAAGATGGGAACATGACAAGAGAAAGCTATGATCTACCCACCGCCGCTTGTCCAAGTGGTGAAGAGCCGGCTGGGCAAAGCCCAGGTATCTGGTTCAAATCCTTTGACAAACAGTGAAATCCTTAAGTGTATGTTGACCCGTGTAAATTGGTGTGGGTAGCATGCTAGGTCGACTGGGATTTTCACCGGCCCAAAAGCAGTGCTTACTTGTCACAAAAAAAAAAAAAAAAAACTATGATCTTGATGCATTTCTGATGAGTTTACCAGGTAAGTTTTTTTTTTTTTAACTAAGTATTCAAGTGATGAGAATGCTTGCTTCTCTTTGAAGATTTGGAAAAAGTAGAGTGTTATATTTTTAAATTTGGAATCATGAAAATAGTGATATTTATGATTTATTTGGGGTGACTATAACTTTTTATAAAGATGTTTATGAAGATTTTTATGTGGAGAAAGTGCTTTTATAAAAGCTGTTGTGGATATTACTCTTTTTTTGAAGCTCCCATACATGAGTAGATATAGTTATAAAAAAACATGCAACCTTCTCACTACAAAAAATTCTGTAATGCAATGAGAAACCAACAAGCGATTGTTAAGTTGAAGTGTAGTTGCGATATGAAAAATACAACAGTCAGAATTCAGAAAGCTAATCTTAAGGTTTCATTTGAGACAGCTTTCTTATTGCTTCTTAAAACAACTTTTTAGTACACAAATTAAAATTATTATACTAAAAAACTATTTTAAGAAACAGTAAGAAAGTCATCCCAAACGAAACGGTAGAGTCATTTGATTGCTTAAAGAATGCAAATGCTTAGATTTCATCAATTGATAATTAGATATAATTTTTTTTCTTTTAATAAACATAAAGTGAAAAAGAAATCTACATTTTCTGATAATATCTTTTTTTTTATTCAGTAGAAAATAAATGAGATCTTGGTGATAATACAGAACAGATCAGAGCTGTTTGACATGTTAAAATTCATCGGATAATTATTGTCTCACCATTTATAAAATAAAGGACGGTCGTTTAGACCAACGTACGTTGAAAATGTTTTGCTTAAAAGCTAAGTGATTGGGAACAAAAGTAGGCAATTTTTTCCTTTCTTTTACCGGACAAAAGCAAGTATGAGGCCATGAGGGGTTGTTTTTTTTACAAAAATTTAAAATTTAGGTGTCTTAATTTAAATATTTTATAATATTTACTTGTTTGAAAAAGAAAATTAAATGCAACTATTATTATTACTATTTGTTAGGCCATGTTACGAGAATGACATGTATGAATGGCACAGACACTGGCATCGACAATCAAGATGGTCACAGGTGTGTATTGCGGCTCGGTACTGTTCAGTACCGCTGATGTGGATGCGCCTGATTCGCTTCCAGACATAGAGCTGCATCCGAACTCCGCACAGAATAATTTATCCTTTTAAGTGCAACAAGAAACTCACATTTAATTTCAGGCAACTTATCATAGGCTCATGTAAATAGTCTGTGGGTGTCTCATAGAAATGTTTGTTTTCAACCATTCAAAAAATGGCAAATATGATAATATTTAGTCTATTTGAATGAGCTCATAGAACACTGTGATTTGAATATGATAACCTTCAAATTCTCAATAAAAATTAAATTAATTAATTAATTAATTAATTAATTAAATACAAAGTCATCTGCCTCTGACATTTCACATTGGTAAGTGTTTCTTCTGCATTATGCTCTCTCTACTGTTAACAAGCATCTGTCTCATTCAGTACTGTTTTTTTTCTTTATTTTGTGTTTTATCTCATTCTTCTTGTCCCCCAATAGTTAAAAGTGAGTTCATGCATAAAAGATAAAAGCCAGTGACTATTCATAGATTAGAGAAAAATTCCCTCAATGAATAAAAATTAAGGCTTTGCTTGTGATAGCTTTGTTACTATTTTTTAAAAGTGTTTTTAGTACAAATTTTGTACTAAAAGTTGTTGTAAGTAGTAAAAAAGATGATCCAAACGAAGCCTAAGAAAGATTTTGAAAGCTCTTAATATGCATGGCTATCTCTGTTTGGGTGATTGTGCCGTGTTGGTGGCTTCAAAACTTCAGATGTTCTGCACAAACGGAATATAACGGTTGATTTGAAATACCCCATGTGTTTCTCGGAATATGAAAGCACTCACCTCTTTTTCAAATGCAATTTCTCATTTTCCATTATTTTTTATCTTATTCTTGATTCTGGATGCTTGCTTCTAAGACCCACCCAATACAATTCATCTCTTAGACTGGATTAATGATCTTTCGAACACTTCAGCTGCTGCTAAAAGCCTCTATTATCTATTAACTTGTTGCGATATATTTCATCTAGAGGGAACGAAATTATCGTCGTTTTGGTGCAAAAGCTAATAGCATTTTTACCATTACTTTTAAGATTAATAGAGCTGTTTTTTCTAAAGTTTGCAAGTGGAGGAATGGAGTTAACTTATTGGATTGCTCTAGTCAATGTGTTTTTACTGTTGTTTGTTCGCCGTTTTTTGTGGCTTGGGGGATTTTTTAGTGAAGCCATGGACAGTGATATGTACCTGATCTCAAGCTATACCTTTTGGATGGTCTTCGGACAACCAGGGTATTCTCGGGACTCTATAGCTTCTTCTATCCCTCTATTGGGGGTTTTCTTGTGTTGCTTCTCTATTTGGGCTGTTTTAGATTCCTTTTTTTATTGTTTTGGGCTCTTTTTGAGCTTTCTCCCACTTTTTTGTGGATATTTTATTTTTTACTTGTAATTCTTTTTCGATCAATATACAGGCTTGTCCCAAATTTTTTCAAATATATAAACATGTCATAAATTGTTGCAGCAGTAGACTGAAAACTTGAGCTAAACATGTTACTTCATAGAAATATAATAAACAAGGAGAAAGTAGGCGAGTTGAATCTCATCAATGTACCAACATACTGCAATTTCTTGGGAAAATCAGTCAGGTAAACAGCATCATTCTTGCTTCCTCTGTATTTAAATCCAAAGCTAAGCTTTGAAGCTTAAAAGATTCAACAAAACAGATTTCAAGATATTCCAGGCTTAACATATCTAGATACTCCCCTTAGCTCTTACTTTAATCATTATATCTGCACGAAATCCCATCAAGCCAAAAACTAGTGCGGTGAATTTGACTGAAGGTTTAAGCTAGCTGTTTGATAAGTTAAATTTAGCTTGAACTGACCTCCTAGTTGAATTCTTTATGAATGCTTACATGTTTTTAGGATTAAACAAATTGTCTAATGAGATCAGAATTGATCGAAAATTAAATTTATTTTTATTGATATCGAATTCATATTGAATTTGATGATAAATATGGTTGAATAAAATAACTTTTTAATACAAAAATTTTAATTTTAATTTTTAAAAACTACTTTAACAAACAATAAGAAAATCATCCCAAACAAAACCTTAAAAATTAAATTGAGACAAATTTTGTACTGTTGAAATTGCTGTCAGCCATTATTTTTTTATCAATTTTTGAAAATTATTGTGATGAAATTTTATTTTTATGACAATAGTGCTTATAAAATATATATTTTTGAATTTTGAACCAAAAAAAAATTATTTATGATACACAATGATTTCAAAAAAAAAAAAAAGGCTTTACCTTATTTATGATACACAATGATTTCAAAAAAAAAAAAAAAGGCTTTACCCACTATCTTATAAAAATCACAACCACCACACAGGACCTTAAGCCAACCTATTATTGACATGAGAATCAAACAAAATGATTTTCTCATAGATATTGGGGCCAAGGCTATATTAGGGCATTGTTTGAGGCAATTCAAACTTTCTATTTTTGCTTTCAAAAACTCTTTTCTTAGTCACAATTTTAAAAATATTTCTTAAAAAATATAAAAATTTTAAAGATAAAAATTTGAAATAATAATGAAAAACTGTCTTTCAAAAACACAATATTTTTATTAACGACTTTTCTTATAACAAAAGCAGTCCAAAATCTGCTCCAAACAAAACCTAATTTGATGATATCAAATAATAGAAAAATTATTAGGAGCGGAGTGCGCACCGTCCGCACAAGCACTGAGTACCCAGCGGTACCCAGTGCTGGTACCTAACGCCAAACAATGCTTGTGCAGACGGTTCTCCCCGTCCACACTCCGCACATAATAATCTCTCCAAATAATAAGAGCCAATGAGGCAAATGCAGCAAAATTAAGATGGGCTCATTTGATTGCTTACCGAATTCAAAGGATTACATTGTGACCTGGGCCCTTATATTAACCTCTTCGTTAGTTCGTTGGATAATGAAGAGACTAAGACTTCGTTTGGGACGGCTTTCTTTACTGTTTTTTAAAACATCTTTCTAGTAAAAAAAATTAATTTTATACTAAAAAACTGCTTTAAAAAATAGTAAAAACGCCATCCCAAACAAATCCTAACAAACTGTTAGCTGCTTCAGGAAACCATGCCGGATATTTACCATCAAGGCATAAATTTAACTCTGAAATACTTTACAATCCACATTTGATCCATCGAAATGACCAATGCATGACATGAAAATAACATATTTATGAATTTAAAGTTGCCATTTGCTCGTTCAGCCTTCCAATTTTGGGTGAAAGATATTACAAATTCATAGAAGGAATTAAACAAAACTTGCTATAAACGCACAAATTTATGAGTAAACTTTGCTTTATCAACATGAAAATTGTAGTATTTTAGCAGCTAGCATCGAATGACACTTCAGATTAAGTAAACCATACTTGCCAAAGCAATTCAGATGGCATCAATATTAAAAAAATAAAAAACAAAAAAAATAAAATAAAAAATACCTTTCATTATGTACTCTGCAGTTTGTACTTATTAAACACCATTTGAGGATGTAATCCTTAGTAATTAAGATATGCATTAATATCCATAAAAGACTGTTGAAATGTTCAGAGATTTCAGCTTCTAGAAGTAGGGGTGTCAATATTTGACATGACGCGAAAACCCGACTCGAACCTGACCCAAAAATTATAGGTTATGGTCAACCAGTTTGTAAAACGAGTCTGGTTGGGTTGAAAAACCGACCCGTTTCAAAAATTGGGTCGGATTCAGGTTGACCTGGAAATCCGGGAATGACCCGGATTGACCCACGCTGACTGTCATTGACCACTGCCCGCGTGACAAAGCCATATGATCATTGTCCGCTGCTCGCATGATCGCGCTGAAGCCGTGTATGCCCGCTGTCCTGTTGCCCCGTTGTGCAGCACTGGCCTCACTGCCGTCGTCCACACGCCATCCGGCACTTCTGAGACTAAGGCATCAGGTTTACAAAATAGTGTCGTGTCGGGTCGGTTCAACCAGGTAACCCGACAGGTCGGGTCCAAGTTCATATTTTCGACCCATTTGCAAAATTGTGTCAGGTTCGGGTGAACCCGTTTGAACCCGGAACAAACCCGGAACAATTCCGGATTCGACCAGAAACCGACCCAAAATCCGAAATTGAACCCCCTAGCTACAAGTTTCATGAATGCCTTTTTAAATAAAATAGCATCAAGCATCAAATAGCCCACATTCTATCCTGATCTTAAGACGAGTAGCTATTTATTGAAAACAAGTATTTTTCTCCTCGAAAAAAAAAATAGAATTAAGTTAATGTTAAGCTATACCTAGGATGATACAACTCTGCTATCAAAACAACAAATGTGGTAGTAGAGGAAAATAAATTTTAGTATGGATTAACAAAGAATAAAACATCAGATACATATCCAAAATTGTACCTGGAACAGATCAACTACATAAGCCTACCAAAATTGAGTACCATGCCTGCTCTAGTACAGTGCAGAATGCTCCTCAGAGAGCCGGATGGAATGAACTGCAACTCCATTTCGAGCATTATGAACTCGGCCCCATCTTCCCAGGCGAGGTTCCTGATGCAAGTAGGCCACAAACAAAAGATTTTTTTTTGGCAAAATGTTTAGAAGTATCCTCAAGATTTAAATAAACGAAAATATATGCTTTATATCCCACAACATGTTTAAGTAAGATAAGAAAAATTTTCATTTCCAACTGATTTATCAAAAGGTGAAAATTCTCACTGTAGTTCCAATTGCCTATACAATTAGTAATAGATGAAGGTGAATATTCAGAAGGAAGATTAACAAGAACAGCATATTTTTTTAACTTATTTTCTGAGCTTGGTGGATAAAATACACAGGGCGGGAGCATTAAAAATGAAGATCCATTATAAACAAAACAAAAGTTTTGATGTTAAGTACTAAATTATATTTATGGAAGTTCAAAGGTCGCATAAAATGGATATTAAAATTATTAAAAAAATTATCATCAAAACATGCTCAATATAGAACATTAGAAGACTAAGGTGGCTCTGAGTAAAATATTGTAGAATGCGCAATTTCAAATGAGAAAGCAATGCCCTCCAAAAATACTGGCATGGATGTCGAGATTATTTATCCAGTTAACTGAGGTGAGTAGGTGAAAAGAGTATTTCAGTAGGGATTAGGGGTTTATTGTGTCTGTTATAAATCAAATTAATTGCAGGAAAAGGATTCAATGGACGGGAGATTACCTGCCCAACCCCAGCCAGAATAAAGCGGCCAGATTTTGAGAATGCAAGTGAATTGGCAAATCCAACCTGCATTAATCAGAGGTCAGAATCTAATAGAAAAAATGTAAATCAAAGATTATACAATATTAAATCATGTATCCTAACAAGAATAACAAAATGTTCATTGGGAATGTGTGTATGTAGGGTGGAGCAGTATGTGAGCATGTATATCCTTAAAAAGGTCCATACAAAGCAAGAAAAATGGAATGCTAACATAAAACAAATAAAACAAAAGCTGCCGAGTAAAAACATTTACATCTAACATGAACTGATAATAAGCAAGCCACAAGCGAGTAAAGGTTTGGAGAACAGAGTTTGAAATCATGGATTAACAGTAATTTTGTTAAACTGGCTAAAATCAAAATATGAGTATGCTCAGTCTCCTAGATTGGTAACTGAAAGTAGCAGGTAACTTGAGAAAAAATAAAACAACCAAGGTTAGTTTGAACAAAATATTACATCATCACCATCTTAAACAAAAAAATAGGCTGTTCAAAAGACCACCTATTTCCATTGGCTTAGCTGTGTTAAACAAATATCAAAACAACATAAACATTTCAGTATAAACATAAATTTACCCAATCAACAGCAAAAGTGCACCTGATGTCAACTCCACATCTAGTATTGTTACAACAACAGGCGAGAATGCTCCAAGCCTCCAAACAACCAAGGTTGCGGGTATCTTATATCATTACTAAAAAGTATGCATCTGGTTCAAATACTAGTGGTCCAGCTATCGATCTACAGCCCACGAAATCCAACTGTGGTCCTGACCCCCAACAAATTATCAATGAGGTGTACTTGGTTTGGGATGACAAAGCAATGTCAACAATAACAATAATATCAAGTTTTTATCCCACTACATGGGTTCCGCTACATGAATCATTTTCTCCATTGTGTCTGGTAAGAGTTAGACTCCCATTTACATCTAATAAAAAGGGTCATTCTAATACTTTCTAACCAAGTCTTCTTAAGTCTACCTCTAGCATTCTTAACATAGGCGTTCTTAACATAGGTCAAATCTAATATATCTACTCTCCAAACCGGATCATCGGAAGGCCGACGTTTTATGTGACCAAACATCTAAGGCAACTCTCTCTAATCCTATCTGCCACTAGTGCTACACATACATTTTCATGTATATACTCATTTCAAATTCTATTTCTAAGAATGAAGCCCACTCATCTACCTGAGAATCCTCAACTCAGCAACACTTAACCAAATATATTTCTTAAAAACTTGCATTTTAAAAGCATCCAAGCAAGCCACGTCTTAACATACTCTATTATAATGACATGCAGATCATGTAGATAGTGTATCACAATTAAGACACAAGTTATATGTCCCACAGGGTCAAAAAAAAAATAATTTTTTTTTCTTCTTGCAAGACTAGAGAGGAAGTTGAAGGTAAACTTGAATTATGGAGGTCAACCTTAGAGTCTAAAGGCTTTCATTTGAGTAGATCTAAAACTGAATATGGAGTGTAATTTTAGTAAAAATAGATCTAGTGGCGATTATGACTTTGGGCGATTAAGTCATTAATAAGAGCACACATTTTAGATATCTTGGGTCTATTGTTCAGAGTGATGGTGAAATAGATGGGGATATTATTAGTAGAATTCAAGTTAAATGGTTGAAGTAGAGAAATGCATCGGGCTTGTTATGTGATAGAAAAGTGTAACAGTCCAAACTCTTAACTATCGAGATATTATCCACTTTAGCCTAAGAGCATCACAATTTTGTAATGTTGGCATAACTTCTCAATAGGTCACCCAACAAGAATTGCTCCGGGAAGAGCACGCTTAACTGCAAAGTTTCTTACGAAAATTTCAGTCATTACATCAAAAGGAGCCTCGATGTTTAAGAGTTTAGCTTTCTTTTACTTAAAGAGTTTCACAATGTCTCTCACTTAAGTAGCTCCAGTGGAAAGTAAGATTAGAGAGAGTCGCCTTAGATGGTATGGTCACATAAAATGGCGGCCTTTCGATGACCTAGTTAGAAAAATAGATATATTAGTGTTAGGAAACACTTGTGTTCGCAAGTATTCCTAACCTAAACCAGTAAAATTACAGCAGCCAATTGCTGTCCATAGCAGGAAAACAGCATATTTCTGCTGTTTACAGCAGGAAAACAGCACTTGTCCGGGAAAATACGAGAGAAAACTCAAGAAAAGACTTGTATTCCACTTAGACGATGAATAAAAGAGCAAGATACAATTGATCCTCAATTCGAGAGGAGGATCGATCTCTCCCAAATCTCTAGACGCCGCTAGAGCCCAAAGAAATCCTAAATCTACGAGATCTCAAATTTCAGTCAAATTCAAGGCTGGACCGGTCCAGTGGACCGGTCTAACAATTAGATTTTACTTATATTAAGAAAGGAAGAGGTAGACCTAAAAAGACTTGGTTAGAAAATATTAGAAATGATCTTTCTTTATTAAAATTTAGAATAGAATTTGACCTTAACAAGACACAATGGAGAAAAAGGATTCATGTGGCCTACCCCACGTAGTGGGATAAAAGCTTGCTGCTGTTGTATTTAAAATTGAAACTCATCATATGCCCATGTTTTTAAAATATGTGATTTGCTTTTCTAAATTCAAGATACTTTCCAGAGATACAACAGCTATGTTTCCATAAGAAAAACTACTGTAACAAGATCAATTAAACTTGGTGAAACTTAAAAAGGCTTCTTTAAGAACTAAAATATGAATCATCATTAATGCATTATATTATGGATAAAAAACTGTACAGATATTGCGTTACGATATTCAAGTGTAGAGGTGAAAACCAACCAACAACGTTATTATAGAATAATAAGATATTCAACTCATTTTGATACATGAGTACCATGGGACTAGCATTCCTGTTTCTCTCTAATCGTATTCTTGGTATATGTTTCACATGTGTCATTTGTCTAGTCTATGTTCAAATATAATTTTATCTTTGTCAATATCGTAGATAAGATACATGTTCATTCTTTGATTCACTGTCAAGGTCTATACCAGCTACATTTCACAATAGAATGTGATGAAATATTTTGCTCCGTTTGATTTGGAAGAATTGAAAGAAAAAAAATGACAAGGAAATTATAAGGGAAATAATAAAGAAAATGAATTGAAGCTAGATTTCACCACTTATTTGGTTGCGGAGAAATTAAGTAATATTTTTTTAAATCTTATTTGGTTGATGAGACATTGAGAGTTTTTTGTGAGGGGAGATTCAAGCCACATCATCGATCCAATAATTTTTTCTGCCTCTTCTTCAACAATGTAAAGTAGGATATTGCAGTAGAAATGCATTTACTCGAATTTCCCAGTAATCCCAATCATTTATAAACTACATTGAAATCAAACACCTATAATGAAATTGTGAAACAAAATGAACTTGCACACCCATCATTTCCTTCAAACCAAACATACCCTTTAGGTTACAGCCCAACATTAATTACAGACTGAGAAGCAGTCTAATAATGAATAAAAGCAATTCAGTTAATATGCAAATGTTCATTTAAAGTTATGTTTAAAAGAGGAACAAAAACAAGGTGCACATTATACCAAGGGATAAGCTAGTAGCGGCTGGATGTTTTTGTCATCACTTGCAATGTTCCATAGACGAATCACACCATTAGCAGCTCCAGATGCAACAAGATCACTTCCTCTGCACACTGCAACTGAACTTACCCAAGATTGAACTGAGGTGGAGCAGCCGCCTTTGTAAGACCAATATAACATACAAATAATAGGAATAAAAATCCGTCAACTTCAAAGGAAATGCGAAAGGAAATACCAAGCTAATATGACAAGTGCAGAAAAAGAAGCAGGAATGTTCTTTTTTTCTTTTTTTTACTTCTGAGATATGAACCAAAGCATGGCATAAATAAGACTTCAATTAAAAAAATGACAAAGAAGCTCAAGTTCTCTTCTTTAGGCAACTTGCGTTATAAACATGAGTGGAATTACCTGCATGATTGCCGTTAGGTAAGCCTTCCTTGCTATTTGTAGGCAAGTGCTCGTCATGAGATGATAACAGAGCATGTGCATTTTTAATGATATGAATAGGCTTCTTTCGTAATATGCTCCAAAGCTCTATACTACCATCATCAGAGCCAGACAAGAATTCACTATCATTAATAAAGCAACAACACTCGAGCGAAGATGCAGGAGCTCGGAAAACTAATTGTGATTCCTCAGGAACCTGTAGGAAAAAAAGTAGATGCATAACTTCAACTCGCGCGGAGATTAATTTCTCTTAACTATGAAGTATGAACATGATCAACAGCCATGACCTTTACAAAGCTCAAAGCTAACACAATAAAATAATTGGAAGCATATTATTTAGCATAAGATCACAACATTCTCCATTGCAAATGTCCTCTCTTTTGTATACCCTTTGGCTTTTTCATTAAAAATGGCAAATTCTGCACATATCTTGTACTATTTTATGTAGTTTTATCTCAAATCGCATATTAACATGTTTATGCATTAAAAGTGTCAAATTAGCTCAATTTGTGCACGGTTATTCAGTCTTCAAAATCCACGGAGAAAAGACATTCCCTAAACAGGACTTGCAATCAGCTTAAGAGGTGTCTGATGTAGTACAAACATGTGAATATGAGTTGCTTAAGGAAATTTGCACGCTTAATATTTCGAGAATAATATTAAATAAAACTTATGCGTATTTAAACGCTAAGATAAAATAATAAGGCGATAAAACAAGCTTAGGCTAAATCACATGCATAGGAGTTAAGATCATAAAACAGTCAATTTATTCTAACATTGCATACATGATTGGTTTTCAATAATAAATCCCAATGTTAACAATAAGATTAGTCATTACAAGAAGATCCTTCACACAACTCGTCCAATTACTAGGTTTTAGGGGAGAAGATTAGCATGATTTCCATGAATCAAAGATATAACCACAATTGAGAAGTAAACTAAGAAGATAAGAGAATGGGAGGAAGAGTTTACCCAAAGAAAGAGGTTATACGAAGTTCCGGTGGTGGTTTGAGGGCTTGAGAGGAAGTAGACAGCCAGTGGTGGCTCCTTGGACGTCTGGATAGCAACACATTCCTTCTCGAACCCTTGGACAACAAGTAGAATATCTGGGACAACAATTCCAGAAAGTTTTGGACGAAAACGGTAGCTTCTGAGGACATTGGACAGCAAGAGGGCGGCTCTGGTTTTGCAGGACAGCAGTTTCCTAGCGTTAGGAGGGCTGGAACAGCAAAGGTCCTGGGTGGAAATTTCTGGACAGCAAGAACCTTGGCTGGAATTTTCTGGATAGCAAAATCTGGACGGGAATTTCCTGGACAGCAGGAAAATTCTTCCAATGGAGGCTCTGGACAGCAGTGTGGGGGTTCAAACAACAGGCCAGCCCCTTTTCCTAACCAAAATTCCCTTGATAGCAAGTAGGAGCTTCAGGAAAATAGAGGGAAATTGAGGGTGACGACTAGGGTGGATGGGGTTAGAGTGGGGCTGAGTTGGAAACTTAGTGGAGTATCTTATTTAGGTATGGGAGGGAGAGAGGGCACAGCAGCTGTAGGAAGAGCTGGCTTGGTGGTTTAATTAGGGAAGGTTAATTTGAATTTGAACCCATCCAATTGTTAGAGAGGGAAAGTGGGCCGGTCCTTGATGGGGATTTGATTGGGTGCTTTAAAAGGGGTTACCAAAATTGTATATTTAAATTAAGAAAAGAGATTTAGAAGATCTCTGTTTCAAATTTAAAATGAATTTGAATAGTGGGACATTTCCTAAATTAACTAATCTCAATTAGGAAATCAATTTCAGATTTTAAGAAGTTAAAACCAGATTTGCATGACTTTCCTAATTTAGCTTTCTTAATTTAGGAAAGTATTTGAAATTTGAATTTCAAATTACTTAAATCTTTTCCCAAATCACTTAGGCTATTTTAGGTAGGTGTTAATGATGATTGATTTCATCATCCAAGGGGAAATAGGAAGGGGGTGGCCGGCGGTGGGGCTAGGGCTAGCTAGGCCGGCGGTTTGGGGTGAAGGTGGGGTGGCCGTCGGCATGTGAAGGGGGTGAGGGGTGGCTGATGGCTTAGAGGGAGATTGGAGAAAAAGGTCGGCCGGTGGAGGTGGGTTGGATTGGCCGGCGATGGTGGGAGGGAAGATAAGGTGGCCGGTGATAGGGAAAGGAAAACAAAAAAAATACTATGAATACTAACCGCGAGTCCTGGAATCCACCGGCAGCTGACGGGTGATGCAAGACCCTCTCCTAGGGTTTATCCTCTCAAGAACTCACAAAGCGATCAACAAGAAAAAAAATCTAAAGTTTCATTCATAATTCATCATCCTAAAATAAAATAGAGCTAGCCTATAAATAGTGGCCTCATGAAAAGAAAATAAACAAAGACTAAAACGCCCTTCGGGCTACAACACCACATGACCATCCCTAGGGGTAAAATAGGAAAAACAGAAATATAAAATAAACTAGTACATTAGACACATCAAAAATAAAATAAACTCCAGATCGTAGCCATTGATCTTCCGATGTCCTCATCAGTGTCACTCATTGACACAGTTATAGTAGGAAAACTGTTTGAAACATGCAATCATTTTTTAGTTACACTAGGAAAATTACCAGCATAAAATGCAGTACATGGGGGCAATATCCTACATTACTTCTCCCATTGTAAACATGCTAAGCATTTTTTAAAGATTCTTGGTTGAACCAGTAAAATTAACAGTAAATAATGAAAATTGTTGCTTAGGCTTGATTGACAAATAACAGAAGCTCCAGTTTAACTAGAAATGTGCAGAGAAAATTGTTGTTCCAATGTTAACTTCTATTTGTCGATGCCTGGCCTACCACTTATTTTTACTTCTTTCGAAATTTCAATTTCTTACGGTCTTAAAAGTGAAAGTGTTTATTTAGTTCGCTTAAACTTCCATTTTCATTGAGTTATCATGATTACAAAGTAAACTGAAAATTAGCCTATGGGTAACTGGAAAAAAAAAAAAAGAGGATTTGATATGTTATTTCTTATTCAATAAAAGGTGAACTAAAAGAAAATGCCCAAATTGTTCATAAAGGGACATTTTTCCCCTTGTTACTGAACTTATACAAACCTTTAAGAAATTAAATATGAGAAAGCAGTGTCAGTTAAAATCTTCAATACAAATTTCAGAAACTTGTGGTATTAATATAATTTGTTTGATTTGTACTTATGCACTTATTTCATAAATCTAACTAATTCATTGGATTCTTCTCTCTTTCTATCAACTCCTTTTGAATCTGTACTTATACACATATTTGTGTCACTAATTCATTATTAAGAAATTTTCTTATTCTAGAATTACATGTTGTAAGCACTGCTACAAATTTCGGTTGAGATAAGACCTAAAACATTTGTTAGAATAAAAAACAAATATCTCCATTCCTAAAATAGAGTTTTTGTCCCTAAAAATGTAATGTAAATTAAGGTGATTGGTTTTGATCATATAAAAGAGAAGTATGCATCCACTTGTAATAATTTTAGTTAGATCTACCAAGACTTATATGAATTATCTTTGTTTAACAAAGACTATATGACTAAAGATGATTATTTATTTAAGAGTACTCGCCCTGTATTTCTAATTATAAATAAAGATAATTGTCATAAAAGAGATGTAACATGTATAGTCATAATGCGGGACTAGTCAATCTACTACAGATAAAAACTAAATACAAGATTTAGTTTTAGTACGCCTCTACCAATTACATATAATCCTGAGAAGATGGTAGTATGGACTTTATATTAGGTTTACCAATGACATGAAAAAAGCATGATTATATTTGTGCTAGCAGATTGTTATTTTTTCAAAAATGGCATATTTCATATCATGTCATACAATACTAATGCATCACATATAATTAAAAAATATATTAATAAAGTTATTAAATTGCATAACTTACCTAAAATAATTATTTCAGATCAATATATAAAATCCAGAAGTTATTAATGAAAAAACTCTATAGAAAAAAGCATATCAACGTAAATTTTCAACCACTTATCATCCACAAACTGATGACCCAGCAGTAGTGATTAATGGGAAATTCAAAGATTTGCAATATTTTTGATAAAAGACCTGCATCTTAGTGAGATTTGATATTGCCTAAGATTGAATTTGCATATAATTCATCAATATATAGGTCTACTCATCACCAGCATAAGTCTATTTGAGACTACCTTAGTGCATCAACCTTAAATCCTATAAATTTTGTTGACCTTATTGTCAAAGGCATCAACCTGGGAAACCAACTTAAATTATAGACAATTTATCATCTACAAACTGATGACCAAATTGAAGAGGTTAATAAAAAACTTGGAAGATATTATGCTGTCTGATAAAAGACTATGCATATGGGTGGGATTGGATATTGCCTATGTCTGAATTTTCATACAATTCATCTATTAGTAGATTTATTGGCATGAGTCCATTCAAGATTATCATAAGATATAAACCTAGAATGCCAATAAATTGAGTTGACCTTATAAAAAATATGGCCAACACCTTTGCACAATCATTCAGAAAATATATGAATGACATGTTAAGGATATCCATAAAAAATTAATAAATAATTATGTTAATTACATGTTTTTGCTTATGCGAACAGTATTGAATCCCAAGGGACAACAATTCAAACTCATATGCATTGAACTAATGCTTATCTATCAAAAAATTCAAAAAGAAAATAAATTTTTATCTGTCTGATTTAACTTTATTTCATGAGCCTACAACCAATTACTTGAATTCAACTCTCTTTCCACCTCTTTCTAGTGAGTTCGCATATAATGCTCTTCAAGAAACTTACATGAAAGTTGTTCCTACTGCTATTTTAGAAGATTTGATTGTTTTCACTGCTGATTGTGGATTCCAAATTATCTTGTTCACTGGCAAGACATACTTAATTGTGATGATTTGTAGATTAACTTGCAACAAGCACAATTTTTAAGATGTTTTTCTTGATAAATATCAAATGCTAAATTTTGCCCTCAGAATTATTTTTACTATTCAAATTATTCAAGCGGTGGGCAATGGAAGTTTGAACTTAGTCCTTGCCTTTAGTGGTGGAAGCTTAGACTTTTGTGTCAAATGGAAGTTGTTGTTGTAAACAGGAGTGCTTGTTTGACTGCTAAATTTATACTAAAATTGCAGCACTAGAGATGTGGGGTAGTCAATATGCTAA